GGAAGAGCAGACAAGAGCCTTAGCTCAGCAAAAAATTTAGGCGCTTACCCATTAACCATTAGTCTATCAGCTTCGGGGTAAGCAACCCCCAGCAAGCCAGATTTTCAACCCAATCCCTTCCCAGGGGTCACACCAAGCCCGGAATCAGCCAGAAATTGCAACAAGCAAACAAAAGGGTGGGGGGAAAAATCTCAAAATCGTAAGTACAGTGGGACCCCCTTATCCGTAGGATCAGGATCCGCTGATTCACTTATCCGAGAAAAATCCTAGAAAGATATACATCTAAGGATGAAGTTACCACGGCTGGCCACGAGAGGGAGCCGGAGACCATGCTATTATGGACAACCTTTGCTGTTAAGAGGGGTGTTTGCTACTATCCACATTTTTCAGCATCTGCTGAGGGGCTACTCTGGGAATGATGGGGAGTCGAACGCATTGAAAGGGCGCCTGGTGCAGGACGGTCAACCCTTGGGAGTCACAGTGCCGGTTTTGAACCACACACATACGCAGACAAACCGATCTATGCTGTCTTGAAAAGGTGACGTTCTCTTAATTTCACGTTTTTGCTTTGGCTTTTTCCAAATCTGGAAAGTCACTCCCGGTTTTGAGAAAACCAAAGACATCTGCCCCTGTCTTCGTTGTTGAAATATATATATATTTGGGGGATTTTTCTTTAATGTTTCAAAATATGTTCAGTGAATACTGGTCCTGTGGATAAAGAGGTTCTACGGTACGGGGATTCTCCCAGCCAGGGCAATCCGGCCTCCTCTTTCCCTGCACCGCTGGGATTCGTGCTCAAGACATGCACGCGGGTGCTGGTGCACCGCCACCACCCCCACGACCTCTGGCACTTACTGCGCACTTCGAACTGGCTGTACTCCCGAGGCTTCAGCACCGGCTGCGACAGGAAAAACCAGGGTAGCTGCTTCCTCAGCTGGGGCAGGAGGTAGTGGGTCACCAAGCCGACCAAGCCCGCCAGGGCGTAGAGGACGTAGCCTAGAACAGACTGAGAAGAGCAGAATGAGAAGGGGGGGAAGGAAGGAAGGAAGGACGGATACAGAACCGGCGCCTGCTCCCAGGCTGTGGAACGCCCGTCCACGGGAAGGCAGATCCTCCCCCCCACCCCACCCCGCTTGCTGTCCTCTAGGCTGCCGAGCTGGGAGTTGGGAATTCGAATCTCCCACTCCTGGCCTCCGCAGAGAAGAGCCAGCTAGGGCTGCCCCCGGAAGTTAAAGGAACAGGAAGCTACGTCTGTTAAATTGTTTTATTTTTAATGTGTTGTTTAGCCACCCAGAGTGGTCAACGGATCAGACGGGCAGGATAGAAATGCAATAAATAAATGAAGGAGTCTTCTCTGCCTCGAAAATAACCCTGGAAAGGGCTGCTAAAAGCCGGAATTGACTCGAACGGCAGGCAAAGGGCGTCTGTGGGAGATGCTGTGCTTTTTTCCGTTTATTATCGCCTACTATGCTTTTAAGTCCTTTGGAAAGTATGTTTATATGAGTTTGCACTGGATCAGGTTTAGCACGACCAGCAGACGCCTGCGGAGGCAGAGTGGGGATCCCCCGAAGGTCACCGCCCCGCCCTGCCCTCCTCCATCCCTTCCCCCCCCCCAGGTACCTCGAGGGCGATGAAGACGGTGCTCGCACTGATGGCGAAGGTCAGGACGGCGATGACCAAGCACATGACCAGGTCGGAGTGAAGGATCTCCCGCTGGGTTGGGGGAAACAAGGAGGAGGAAGTGAGAGTCCGAGACATTTTGACTGGCAACCTGTTGGCAAACTCTGAGCCACCGTATCAGATGGAGAGATCCCTGCCTTGCCATTACAGTAGGACACACACACCCCCCCAAATATCTGCCGGAGATGGGTTCCCAGTCCCTGAGGATACTGAAAACTGCAAATAACAGCGAACACTATCTACCAATAAAAAACAGAATTTTTTAAACATGCATTACCAAAACTGGCCACTAACTAGCGCCAGAGACCATGCTATGTATTCTTCACTAGCAAGTATTTATAGTAGAGTCTTTGGGCCCCCCTCTGGTGGCCAGTTCTGGTAATACGTGGCAGAAACAAATATTTCTGGGTTTTGTCTTTTCTCATGCTATGATTAGTGTTTGCTATTATCCACGTTTTTCAGCTTCTGCGGGGGAACTTGGGAACAATCCCCCACGGACACAGGGGCCCAACTGTACTTCCAAGTTCGACTTGATACCCTGAGATTGAAGCTAGGACTGTCTACTTAGACATCAAAGCCCCCTGTCCACTGAGCTACACTGCCACCTTGGTTGATTTTCCAGTAGCCGAGTACTGTTGTAAGCCCTTCTCAGCCTCTCTCCCACAGACCATCCCCTTTTACAGCAGCGTCCGACCCATGCCAGGCTTCATCCCTGCGCAATTCCCGCTGCGACTGATCAACGGGTGTCAGAAGCCGGATCTTCCCCCGGGAGGTCAGAATATTCTCCACCTCTTAAGTTTATTACTCTTCCCGGCTCTCACCACTGAGCTGCGCAGCTTCTCAGGGAGCGGATCCTTAATCCCGACCGGAGGGCTTTCCAGGTTGCGATTGTCGAACTCCGGGAAGAGCTTGGTCCGTATCAACGACCTAGAAAGAAAAGGGGAAGTGAGGGCCTAGAATCACCCTGGCCATCTCGAGCCGTCTCAAACCAGCCACAGAGAACCCTCCGCTCCCCCTCCGGCTTTGAAAGCAGGGAGGAGATCCCTTGGCTTGTAAGGATAACCCGGTCACAAAAGAGCGAGAACCTGACCCACACAGGCGTTGTGTATGTGTATTTGTGTGTGTGTGCCCTATTTATTCTCTCTCTGGGAAAGCGAGCCGGGTGAAACGGGATTCCTGCATTGTCTCTGATCAGGGATCACACCGCGATCAGAGATCTCCAGAGAACCATCGCTGGCGCTCACCGGCCAGATGGGGAAGACAAGGAACGCGTGAATTTCACCCTAGTGAGAGAGGCAAGGGACCCGCGGCCCCTCTCGGGCCCCCCGAGACTGAACACAGGCAGGAGGGAAGGGGCTACGGGGGAGTAGATAGAAGCTCAGCCCCTTTCCTCCTTCTGACTGCCCAAGTCCAGGGGAAAACGGCAACCCTTGGAAGCAAAGGACGTCCTGACCCATTAACGGGAAGGAAACTGCAGCCCGTGGGCCACCCCGCCCACGTGTCTTCCTTCCTCCCCGAGGCCACCACCGCGTGCCGTCCGCCTCCTTCCCTCCCACGCCGTGGCCTACGTACCAGAGGACAGTGGGGTCGCTGCTCTGGCGGCTCAGGTGGTACGAGAGGGCCACGAGGAGGCCACAGAAGACGGAGAAGAGGACAGGGACGTGCTGGTCGCCCCACGGCGCCTGGAAGGGGGAAGCCAAGCGGCGATGGTCATCTGGCGGGCCCTGATCCTGCGAACCCCACCCCACCCCACCCTGAGCCACTGAAGCCCGGCCGCAAAATGATGGGTGAGCCAACCCAGGGGGGGGGCAGATACCTTGATGGCTCCGAGGCAGAACCCGTACAGCAGAGCAGCCACGAGGACGCTACGCAGGAGAGCAAAGAAGGCCGTGAGGGGGCTGGTGGCGGCTGGGGAAAGAGACGGACACAGTGAGCCCCCTTCTCCTCGCCCGTGCCAGAGACAAACCTACCCCAAGATTAAAACTCAGACCCCGCCTGGAGGCAACGTCTCCCGGCTTTGTGGTCAACTGATCACCCGGACGTAGAGATCAGCTGCATTTCAAAGACGCTGGCATGGGGTGGGGTGGGGTGTCACTGATCGGAAAGAAGCAACAGGAACTCTCCCCATGCCTGGGGTTTTAGTTTTTCATTTTTATTGCCCGCTTAAAAGTGGAGTTTGGAAGGCAGTGTTTGACGAGGACTTTTTAAAAAATGCAAAAAGACATAAAATCAAGCACTCTGATCACCAAGGGGAGGCCTTGCTCTCGGTCCCATCACCCCTCACAAGGGTGTTTGGTGGGGAAACGGGAGAGGGGCCTACTTAGTGGCTGTCACCACACTCAAGGCCCTCGTGCCTGGCTTCCAGGGGCCAAGAGGACAGCCCCCAGGCCTCTGAGGACTTCAGCCCCACCTCTCCCCAGTTCCCCACTCCTCTCTCTTCCTCACCTGTTCCACCGAAGATATTCATGTCCACTTGTTCCAGAAGGTACATGAAGCACGTGTTGACCTGGGGGAGGAGTCCGAAGAGGAAAATCGCCGGGAAGCAGAGGGTGAACACTGGGGCCCGAGGAGGAAATGAAAGAAGTCAAAACGTCACTCAGCAAGAGCCAAGACATACACGCATAATGGCTCAAGATTCTTGGCCTTGCAGGAACTTCCCAGCAGGCCCAAACGCGGCCATCATCCCCTCCCTCCAGCCTTGCTCACCGATGGCCACGTCTCGGGCGCAGCAGAAGAAGTCGGCGGAGAAGAACACGAGGTTGTAGAAGGCCATTGGCGGGAGGGGCACCGCCCGGGAACACAGATCCAGCAGCCAGATCAAAAGGCAGGCCGCGCAGAAGTAAACGGGCCGGCTGTAGGCGATGATCCAGTTGTGCCCCTGTAAACGGAAGCCGAGACCAGTCGGAAGAGCAGCTTTAGAAACAAAGGCTTATCTCTCTTTCTCTCTCTGAAATATTTCAAACTTTTAAAGGCCTCCCCTGATGACCTTAACACCCGAGCAGGCCCATAAGGGGAGACGTGGTCTTTGAAACAGCTCAGAACCCAAGCCGTCTTAGAACGGTTAGATCCACACCCTGCTTTATACCGTGGGCTGTTCCTAGAATAAGAGCATCTTCGAGATCTCTCCAGACGGCAGCGCCCGTTTCCCCCTCTGCCTTCGGAGCGGGGCTGTGCTACGTCTGGGGAATCCTGGAAGCCGCCCTCCAAAAAAACCAAAGCAACTTCTCTTCGTTCTGGTGCTAAGGTGATCTTCCTGATACACTCCAGTAAAGGCGATTTGGGACTTTTCCCCCCATCGCTTCGTTTTCAGAGTCGACCAAGGCAGGTTCTGATCCTCCCTCCCTCTTCCCCCCGACTCTTCTGACCTGCTCTTGGGCGTGTCAAAAGGTGATTTTTGGAAGAGCCGTGTAAGCACCCCCTTGCTCATCAAGTTCCCCGCAGCTGGGTACTCACGTGCATGGGCGAAGCAGCATCTGGTTGAACGCTCTGGGGGCCAAAAAAAAGAAGCCAAGATCAGAGAGCAGGAAAAATACATCAGGCAATACACACACACACACATACGAGAAGGCCCTCTCTAAAATGATGACGACGATATGACACTTTTTCTAACAACAAAAGGAACTGAACGTTTAGGTTGTTCTTAGGATAATGACGGGTTAGTGTCACAAACCACTCTGAGCGCACCGTTAGCCACAAAAAAGTTTAAAGGGCTCGGGAGGAACCGAGGCAGCCCCCCCGAGGATGCTAGGAGAGGGGGGGGAAAGGTCTATCTGGACCACTGCAGGAAGCCCAATCCTTGCCATTGTCAAATGAAACCACCCTGCGTTCGGAACTGATCTTCCGCTAGAGTGGTCTATTGACTAGATAGGCGGGATATAAATAAAATAAATAAATAAATAAATAAATTCCGTGTCCTTTAGAAACAGGGCACCGCGGAGGAGGAAGAGGAGGAGGGAAGCGGCTTAAGTCTCAAGCGGGTTGGAGCGGAAGGGCGCTGTAGTTACGACTCACTTTCAACAGGGAGTACTGGCAGCTGGCAATGACCACGCAGAACTGGAACACCCAGATGTCTCGAAAGAAGCCTTGCAGGAGGAGCAGGTAGCCCAGGAATGCCACCAAACTCACCAGCACCACGACAAACACGTTCTCAGCCAACCGCCGGTTCCTGGGAGGGGGCAGGAAAGGAAAGCGCATTCACCGTGGGCTGGCACCCAACAAACCCATTTTTACAGTACAGTGGTGCCTAGCAAGATGATGTTAATTCGTTCTGCGAAAATCGCTGTCTTGCAAAAACATCGTCTTGTGAAACGCGGTTCCCCATTGGAATGCACTGAAATCTATTTAATGTGTTTGGGGGGGACTGTCTTGCGAAGCATCGGTCTTTAAAAAAAAAAGTCTTGTGAAGCATAGACCCAAACAAAGTCTTGCAAAAATCGTCCATAGGAAAAAACGTCTTGCAAAACGCAACAGCGATCGTGAAAACCCATCGTCTTGCGGATTATTCCTCCCGCGAGGCAATCGTCTTGCGAGGCACCACTGTATTATCTGCCATCTGCAGGCCTCAGCCTTTGGTTTCCCCTCAAAGACAGCCCTTAAGCCATCTTTAATGGAGAGATAGCCCATTCAATAGAGGACCCCAAGTTGTACGGGGATTTATAGGTCATAAGCAGCAACCAAAATTATAGAACCACCCAGTCTTGGGCCACCAATAAGCCTGATTTATTTTAGCATGAGATCATGTGGATCACAATCCACCCCTCTAGAGACAGGTGGACTCTTTCCTAGTTTTTTAAATATGGGCTGAATGGATCATTCAGGGGGTCGAGGTCTCTGCCTGCCAAGCCAGAGGCTGGGAGTTCGATTCCCCGCTGGGCCACCTGGAGGAGAAGAGCCAGCCTGGGTGGCCTTGGGCCAGAGGCACAATATCCCAGGGCACTCCTCGAAAAAGAGAATGGGGAACTTAGTACTTTTACCTTAAAAGCACTGAGCAAAGTTACCGCAAATCAGAATTGAATTGATGGCACATAATTATTATTAGGCACAGTGGGACCTCCATATCCAGTGGGGATTGGTTCCAAGCCCCTGTGGATACTTAAAACTCTCTGTCTCTCTTTATATATATAATGATAAAACAAAAAAATCCAAAAAAAAAATTATTTTCACGTGCATTACCAGAACTGGACACTAGAGGGTGGCAGAGACCATGCTATTATTCTTCACTAACAAGTATTGTATTTATAGCATGGTCTCTGGCTCCCTCCCGTGGCCGGTTCTGGTAATACATGTGAAAATAAGTTTTTTCTTGCCTGCTGCAAGACCACAAAGAGAAGCCGATCCTCCCTAGCCCACTGCAGACTAACCCAGCCGCTAAGGTTGGACACTCACCGGTCCAGTAAGGCCAGCAGGGCTAAGCGGTCGTAGCGAACTCGCATCCAGCGCCCGGGCAGCACCCAAAATTTGTAGTACTGGCGTGGGTGGCACTTGTCCTCGATCATGAGCGTGTTCTCCTGGGACTCGTGCAGTGATTCTTGGTCAAGAAGGTCAAACTGGGGGTGGGGGGAATTAAAAAAAAAACACAGTCAGACACCTTCAATCAAACACCTCTTTATCATCGCAAAAACCAAGAATAAGGTTCCCAGGTTTTGTTCCAAATGGGATGGACTACAATTCGTATCATCCCCGACCACAGTCTGAGGCTGATGGGAAGCGTAGTGCAGATGGGACTAGTGGCAGGAGCCAGGAAGAAGAAGGCTGGTTTACTCCAACAACCGGGCGCGGGGGGGGGGGGGGGGGGGGGGGAATTAAGATTTCAAAGGCAAAAAGGAAAGAATCCGACCTTCTTTTCCAAAAAAGGCCAAAAAGCTGAGTATCTAAAATAAATAATTGCCAGCTTTATTTAAAAAACAACTAATGTTCTAAAAAAAGATTGCCACTTCTATTAAAAAAACTAATTTTTTGGAAAAAAATTTACCATCAGCTCCATTTAAAAAAAATTTAAATTCTGATTCAGGCCAATGGAACTGCCCCTGGGGTCAGGCAGAAAGACCAACGCACCAGGGCCTCGCTCACCTCTGGGATCTCCAGCGGCACCCGGCGCACCTGCATGCCCTGAAGGACCACGGGACGTGGCTGCAGCAGTGTGAGGGCCGGGGTCCCTTCCGGCACTTCGGCGGAGTTGAAGCTAGAGGAGTGCGAATGCCGGTCCCTGCCGGAGCGAAGGGAAGGAGGAGTGAGAGGGCAGCCGTTTCCCCCCCTCCCCGGATCCGCACGCCCCCTGGAAAACATCACCCACACGCACACCCCAAGCGGTCCTGCGACGTGGCCCGGCTTATTCCGGGACGTGGCCAGCCCTCCCATGGCATCAACTCAGGCCACGGAAAGGCGGAAAGGAGCCACGAGTTTGCCGAAAGCTGATTTCTGCTCGACGCTAAATTCTGCCTCAGGCAGGAGATTTTGGGGTCTTTATCCCTAACTATAATCTGTTCTCCTTGCCCAGTGGAAGCAAAATATGAAGAGCGCCAGCAGTTTAAGGTGGCTTTTTAACGTTTCCTTGCAAACCATTTCTCCCACCCAGAAATCCCACATCGTGGCGGGACGGAGGCTCACGACAGAGGCTCCGATTTTAGACTCACCAGCCGCCATTGGTGGCATGATCCATGCTCACGTGCTGCCCAACGGGGTTTTCGTAGCCGCCCCCTGCTAGCCCAAAAGTGTAGGAGCGTCGGACTCCTAGGGGGAGAAGAAAAGCAATTAATAACAACAAAAGAGAGAGAAATATTGTGACGCCCACAGAGGAAATCCCTGCTCCCAGCATATCCCTTCGGTCAGAAAAAGATCGTGCAAAACCAGATCTCTGGAGCTTTAAACGAGGAAATCTAACATCTCACGTCTTGGGAAGTGGATTGGTCCATGAAAGCTCACATCAAAACACAGCGGCTCGCCTTTATGGTGCCCCGATGTTTCTGTCTTCTTTATTTTTGATTATGATTTTATGGATCACACGGGGGTCTCTTCACTGCCACCTCCTGCTCCGGCCTCAGCAAAGCTGCTGCTTTTACCAGCGTCTCAGGAGAAAGCAACGTCCAACATGGATCTCTCGCTGATCGTTCGAGACCAGGGTCTCCCCGCCTTGGGGCGCTGGATTTTCTTGGACCGAAACTACCCAGAGGTTTTCACCAGTTGCTCTGGCTGGGATTTTCTGGGCGTTTGCAGTATCAGAATATTGGGAGCCCGTATTCTAACTGACCCAAGTTAAAAGGAAATCTAACTCCACCCTTTAGGCACCAAACCCTGGACTTCAACCCACAGTGAGGAGCCACCAGGGAAGGCGAGAAAAAACAGAGGAGGTAGGAGGAATCCTGCTGTAGGAGGTCTGATGGGAGTGGCGGCGTGGGACTACAACTCCCATTCGATTTAGCCAAGGGTGATGGGAGTCAGAGACTAACCTTCTGCTAAGTCCCGCCAAAGACTTAATCCTGCCGCTGTTCTCCGGTCATTTCGGGAGGCGGCTCCCACCCACTTCCCCCAAGCGCCGGCCGCGTGGCAGGGGACGATGGGACCCGTAGTGCGAGGCCACTCACCGCTCTCGTCGTAGAAGTAATGCACCGCCCCTTCGGAGGTGTCGTCGAAGTTGCAGGCTTCGTGGACGGCGGCCCCGCGGGGCAGCAGGAGGGAGCTGGCGAACTGGAGGGCCGAGGGGAGGGTCAGCGTGCGGGAGTGGGAGGAGGCCCGGCCGCGCTGGAGATCCTGCAAACTGCACACACACACAGGGGGGCGAGGGGTGAAACGGCAGCCCAAAGGACCTGGCGGGACCCGGGCGGACCCAAAAAAGGAGGCAGGACTCACCTGGGGGGGGATCCCATCACCGAGGAAGGGGGTGTGGGGTTGCTCCCGGCGTTGTGCCGCCTCCTCATGGCCTGCAGGCGTTTCGCGCTGTTGGAGCGGTCCGGCTTGGGGCCTTCCTCACCGGAAGGGGCTGTGAGGCGAGAGAGGAGAGGGGGCTAGACACGGATCGGGCAGGGAGGGGCGGGCGGGCGAGCTTGGCAAGCTTCCCGCTCTCGGGACACATCGGACGGACACAGGTTGTTAAAACGGAAGAGATGGACATTCAAAACATCTGGAGAGCCACCGGGGAAGACCGGAGAATTACGACTGGCAGGGAGGGGCGGGTGGGCAAGCGTGGCAAGCTTCCCGCTCTCGGGACGCGTCAGACGGACGCAGGTTGTTAAAACGGAAGAGATGGACACTCAGAACATCTGGAGAGCCACCAGGGAAAACCGGAGAAGTATGACTGCCCGTCGGAGTGGACATGACTGGCCTTGGTGGACTCTGTATATATACGGTTGTTGTTGTTGTTTAGTCATTTAGTCGTGCCCGACTCTTCATGACCCCATGGACCAGAGCACGCCATATATACGGTAAGGCCCCGTATCTGTGGGGGGATTGTTTCCAACCCCGCCCCGCAGATGCTGGAAACTCCAGATATTAGCGAATGCTATACAGAGCACAATAAAAGTGGGAGGGGAAATCAAGCATTTTTATATGTATTTACCAGAACTGGCCACTAGAGGCAGCAAGAGACCAGGCTAGATATTCTTGTTGTTGGAAAATACACCGTCTGGTCTCTGGCTCCCTCAAGTGGCCTGTTTTGGTAACTTCATCTTTAGAAATACTGTATTTTTCCGTATATAACACACCCCCATGTATAAGACACCCCCCACTTTCTAATCCAAAATTAAGAAATCTAAGTGGGGATCAGCAAGTGTAGGGGGAAAGGGATCAAAAGCGCTGCAGGATCGCTTTGATCCCTGCTTTCCCCTCCACTTGTTTTTGTTATCTGCTCAGCTTCCTTCCGTGTATAAGACGACCCTCAATTTTTAGGCTAAAGATTTTAGACAAAAGTATAGTCTTATATGTGGAAAAATACGGTATATATTTCAAGGAGTTTAATAATTTCCGGTTGTTCATACGTGAATCAGCCGATACCGGTCCTACAGATAAGGGAGCCCTGCTGGACTTCTACAAAATAAATATCTCTCTCCTTTGATGGGGAAAGTCCAGATGAATTTCCTGCCCACCCGCGTGCCACCTCTTGAGCGGGCTTACCTCCCCCGACGGCCCCTTCGGTGGGCAGCTCCCCTCTCCAGCCGGGCTGGTTGGCCGAGTGGCTGCGCACGGCGTTGCCAGACTCCGTCTCGGCCGCCATCTTGCCGGCGGCGTGGGCCTCCAGGTCAGACTTGGAGACGGGGGGGCCGCTCGGGAGAGTAGCAGGAGGTGCTGGACGAGCTGTCGGTGCTGTAGTCGTGCTGGGAGCGAAGGCTGGAGGCCCGGCTGAGGTCGCTGCAGTCGCTCGAGTCCTCGTCGGCGAAAAACCCTTCCGCGTAGGCCTTGCTGTCCAGGAGGGTGCGCATGGGCAGGTAAGCCCTGCCGTGCTTGCGCGAGAGGCGCCGGTGGCCCTTGAGGATCAGCTCCTTCGGCCGGACCACCTGCTCCGGCTCGGGGCCGCCCCACAGCTCAGCGGCGTCCCCACCCTTGACCGTGTCCAGGGAGTTCAAGGTGTTCTGGGTGTCGAAGCTGAGTTCCCCGAGGATTTAATGCTGTACTAAAAATGCATGTGCTAGGTCTGGTCAGATGTTTATCTGAGTGTTTTATTCTTATACAACAGGGTTGAGCAACCTATGGACAATGGGACATAGGTAACTTCTGCTTTTTTATCTGCTTGCTGGGTCATACTGGATCACAACCTCTGTTGGAAAAAGAAATTCTACTTGGAAAATTAAGAGAGCTGTTGCTTCTAGAAGAGTGGTTCCCAACCTTGAATCCCCAGGAGTTGTAGTTGAAGAACATCTGAGTAACAAGGGTTAAGAACCAGTGTTGTAGAGGATTAAAATAGGAGTTTACAAAACTGAGACTTCTGGCCTCTCCTTAAAAGTGACTTGTTTTTATCAGTACAATTAAAGAGAAGCTTTCTCTCCCACTACATTCACTTATGACAGAGGAAAGCATTGTAGACAGCCTGTCGATGGAAAAGGAATATCCACAAAGAATGACCGGCGCTTCTCCCGCCGCCCGTCGGGCAAGGCCAGGCTCAGGAAGCTCTGGCTCAGCTCCTCGCTCAAGCTGCTCTTGATCAGGGGGCTCAGCGGGGTGTCCCCCACGCTCTCTGACTCGCTGGCCGTCCAGCGAGGGGCCCGCGAGCCCGGCCCGGTGGGGGGAGACGGCTCGGAGGAGTCCGTGCTTTGGACGGAGCTCTGGACCGGGAGGGGAGGAGGGTGCTTCCGGACGCCGGAGGGGGGCTCGGCCCTGGGCACCGGGAGCAGGCTGCCGGCCGGGCCTTCCCGCTCGGGGGCCGTCACCGCATCGTCGCCCGCTACAGAGGGGGGGGCAAAAAAAGGAGAGGAAGCGATTAGACGCCCGGCAGACGAGACCGGGAACTCTGGGTGGCGGCCCCAAAACTTGCAGAACTCCCTCCCTGTCCCTTTGCCGCTTGGCCTCTAAAAGCATCGATCTGTGGCTTGCCTATAACCCCGCTACAGAGGGGGGGCAAAAAAGGAGAGGAAGCGATTAGATGCCCGGCAGACGAGACCGGGAACTCTGGGTGGCGGCCCCAAAACTTGCAGAACTCCCTCCCTGTCCCTTTGCCGCTTGGCCTCTAAAAGCATCGATCTGTGGCTTGCCTATAAACGGGTTCATCACTAGCAGGCATGTTTTGCAGGAGAACATCTCAAAGGAGTCTGTGGGCTTATTAAGCGGGATATTCCACTTTTAGACTCTCCCTTTTTCCTGGACCCTCTTCCCGTCTGCCAATGGCACAGACTTACAAAGGGCCTTCAAGAGACGCCTGAAATACAAGGACTTTTAATATTTCTAATATATTCAGACCCTGGAGGAGGGCATCAGCAGGTACTGATCCCGCAGATAAGGAGATCCTCCCTGTGATTTTAAAGAAGGATACATAACAGCACTCTGGGCCGAACGGAGATGATCTTTTGAATGTCATGCCCGCTGTGGGGAAAATATAGGGTTCTGGCCTCTGCCCAAGGAAGTCTATTTATCGGAGAGTCAAGAACCCAATCCGGGAATCTAACAGAAGGGCTGCTACCTGGATTCGTACCCCACCACCACCACGCACGCCACCTTGATCCGCGGCTCCTTCCCACCAACCAAGACAAGGAACCTACCTAGGTTCTCTGGGGAACATCGTTGGAGCATGTCTCGGTCGGCCGCCGTAACGATGACGTTGTTGCTGCCCTGCTCGCGCACCAGTTCTTTGATGTCTGCAAGAGAAAAGCCACAGGAGGGTTGAGAAGGACTCTGATCCCCTCTGTACATACAATAGGGACCCCCCCCCCCCATAATCCATGGAATCAGCGGCCCCGGTTTCACGTCTCTGCAGTCTAAAAATATTAAATTTAAAAGATGTCGCATTTCCAACTGAGAAGTGAACACGATGTCGTGACCCCCACGGAAGGTGGTGTGGGTCCACCCTGCTTGGCGCTGCTTACCTCTTACGGGGGCCCCGTCCTCCAGATGGGGCAGTAAGTCCTGCAAGGCGAAAGAGAGAAAGTTAAGTCCAACCTCTCATTTGTTAAAAGGAAATTGGGAGAGGCAGAGGGCGGGAAACCAGTGTTAGCCCAGAACCGGGAGCCTTGTTTGACCTGCAGTTGTCCTCTCTAGAAACAGCCCGGGAAAAATTCTCCTATAAAGTTGGAGGAAACCCTGCCCGGCCATCTAGATCGGGGAGGGCAAATCTCGGGGCCCTTCGGTTGAAGAATCATCCGCTGGGCGAGGCGGGGCTCATGGGAGTTGGCGTTCGATGGCATTGCAAGAGCTGCCGATTCCGCTCGCCCTGCGCTGACGGCGAGAACTCAAGCTCCAGCTAACCCTAACCCGGAACACACGCCCTGCTGGACTGGACTGGCCACCCCCCTAAGGCAGTGTTCAGACCCACATAGGGGTCAATCAGACCTTTTTTTGGGGGGGGGGAGTCTGGACAGAAGGCAAGGCGGCAGCAGCCCTCGGCCTCTACTACAGGATGAAAACACTGTACTAACCAGAACTAGGACCTTGCTTTGCAATCAAGGCCATAGTCCTCATGCAATACAGTAGGAGCCCCCCCCCAATATCTAAAGTTACCAGAACTGGACACTAGAGGGAGCCAGAGACCATGCCATGTATCGTGTTGGCTCTTAAAAATAGCGTTTGCTACCAGCCACGATTTTCAGCATCCGCGCAGGTGGGGGTTGGAATTGATCCCCCATGCATACAGGGGTCCTACTGCACATGGCGAAATAAAAACACAATACATTCAGGTCTCTAAGGAAGACAGGTTTCTTATCTACTGCTTCTGAACTGCCGTCTTTGAAACCACATCCTCCTGCCTTTGGTAAAGTCCCAGAAAAAGAGGCAGCCGGAGGGAGCCCCAGTTCCACACCGCCCCTCGTTTCCCACCCACAGGAGAGAGACCGACGCCGCGTCCTCCGCCTTACCATGACTTGGTTGAAGCCAAACACCGAATGCTGGGAACTGCACCGCACCGGCGGCGTGGAACTGACCTTCCGGAACACCGTCATCTCCACCCCACCGGGGTCCCTGCGGAAGAGAAGCATCCGGCCAGGCCCGGGTGGGAAAAGAAACATCCGAATGAAAATACATGAGATTTCGCATCGGGGTCTCCGGGCGCTGTTGGCTTAATGCCCCAAAAAGCTCGGGTGAGCAGGGACGACGGAGAATTGCAGGCCAGCCTGGGTGGCCTCGGGCAAGCGGCACGGTGCCCCAGGGCTCGACCCCCCCCCACCCGCCGGGAAGAAGGGAACAGGAAGCCACTTCTGAGTATCCCCTAACCCTGATAATCAGAATTGACTGGACAGCCTAATAGTGTCTCCCCCGCTTTTCTGATTTCTGAAACAATTATTCCCCCACCTGCTTTCCAGAGAACAAGAGGGAAAGAAGTAGCAGGAAACCACTGTCAGTAAGATGACCACATAGGTTGACCACCCGCCGGGAAGAAGGGAACAGGAAGCCACTTCTGAGTATCCCCTAACCCTGATAATCAGAATTGACTGGACAGCCTAATAGTGTCTCCCCCGCTTTTCTGATTTCTGAAACAATTATTCCCCCACCTGCTTTCCAGAGAACAAGAGGGAAAGAAGTAGCAGGAAACCACTGTCAGTAAGATGACCACATAGGTTGACGAGCCAGAGGTTGGGGGTTCGAATCCCCCCCCGGGTCTCCCTAGGAGCTCTGCGGAAACCACTGTCAGTAAGATGACCACATAGGTTGACGAGCCAGAGGTTGGGGGTTCGAATCCCCCCCCGGGTCTCCCTAACAGGGGAGCTCTGCCGTTTTATCATGATGATTCCCAGGGCTTTAAACACTTCCCTGAAAGCTCAGAAAATGAGACGCACGGCAGACCCGCTACAGATCTTTAACGTACGAAACCTAAAGGTTTCACTCAATTTCGAGCCGACGGCCAACCGATTTGGGGAAAAATAAACCCAGCTCATTTTTTTTCCATGCTGGGTAGTTCTAGCCTGTTCGGTCTTTGTCAGAGGTTCCGACCCGATCCAAGTCTTTCGTGCGATTCAGAAAAGGGGGGGAGGGAGGCGAGGAACACCTCTTTATAGAAGAGGGCCAGGGAGTTGGGTTCTAGCCGTGAGAGCAAAATCCTGCACGAAGGCACCCCTGTTAAATTAATCCTTGCTCTTGGCTCACTCAACTGAGATGCTCTTTTGCACCTCGCTATGGTAAAAAGCGAGAGGGAAACCACGTTCGGAAAGGCTGATGGACGTAAGGCCTGCAGCATGCCCAAAAGAGAGCGAGAGCGAGAGAGAGCGCACCAAGGCTACGCAGAGTCGGTCCGGGCACATCAGGGCACCCGGCTTTAAAACCCGCAAGACGAGCACACTTTACAGGCGCCCCTGCGACGGCCCACCTGGTCAGGTTCCTCTCGTCAGCCGCAGCGCCGTCTTCTGCCCTGGCCGCTTCTGCCAGGGCGGAGTTCTTCTCCACTATCTCCCCCTGGTCGAACATGGTGTGCAGGCGGTAGTTGACGGCCTTCACCGTGGTGAAGAAGGTGGCGACCACGGCGCAGTAGGCCCCCGCCACGACGACGCTGGGAGGCATCACCTGCCATGAAAAGAAAGGCCACGGGCTAAACGTGGGCACTGCCGGGTCCACGGCGGCAGGCACAGGAACCTTTGTGGGCACATCTGACCTGCTCCCAAAACCCAAATCGGGGAAGCCTTTGAAAATCTGCCCTCTGGAAAGGACCAGATCGATATAGTACGATCCAGGCATTTACGGGGGGATTGGCGGCAAGTTCCCTGCAAATACTGAAAAAACGTGGATTATCATGAATGCTATACTGCCGGGTCCACGGCGGCAGGCACAGGAACCTTTGTGGGCACATCTGACCTGCTCCCAAAACCCAAATCGGGGAAGCCTTTGAAAATCTGCCCTCTGGAAAGGACCAGATCGATATAGTACGATCCAGGCATTTACGGGGGGATTGGCGGCAAGTTCCCTGCAAATACTGAAAAAACGTGGATTATCGTGAATGCCATTTGGAGCAAATTCAGAGGAGGGCGACAAGGAGGATGATCAGGGACCAGAGACCAAGCCCTAGAAAGAAAGACGGAAAGAACTGGGCAGGTTCAGCCTGGAGAAACGAAGACTGCGCAGAGGCAGGATACCCTTGTTGAATTACTTGAAAGGTAGTCCTACAGAAGAGGGGCAGGATCTGTTCCCAATCATCCCAGGAGACAGAATAATGGGCTCAAGCTACAGGAAGCCAAATATCAAGAAAAACTTGTAACTGTTAGAGCAGTACAACAAGGGAACCGAGGACCTCGGGAGGGGGCGAGCGTGGCAACGCTGGAGGCCTTCAGGAGGAAATCTGACCACCGCCTGTCAGATCTGCTTTGACACGGATCCCTGCCCTAAACAGGGGGATTGGTCATGATGGCCTTAAAGACCCCTTCTGACCCTTCTATGAAAACCTGACCAGGAGTGGCATCGGGTGCTTAAAATATTTGCTTAGCATGGCTACTGGAATTCTAATATTTACAACTATTTTTAGTGGACTTTCCACAGAAAGGCAGCTCCTTCTGCACACGCTATCATCTCCTTTTACCCCCGGGTCAAGCACGACCCACAGCCTCTGCCCCAGCAGGCACTCCGGATATTCATTCCTAGCAAGACAAAGGCTGCCCAGGAGCGAAAGGTTGAAAACGACCAAGCCGCATCTAATTACATTTCTGAACTTAAAGACAACGAGTCGTACGGAAAGGATGACCAGAAAGGAGCAGGAAATACGGAGGGAAGGAATTGTGGGAGTTTGGATGCCCGACTCTACCTCCTTGACAAGGCCAGGTGATTAAAAGAGTCTCTGCAATTCTAAGACGATCTTAACGATAGCTCAGTGGCTCCCGTCTCTGGCTGTGGAGCCAAAGGTTTGGGGGGGTCTGTTCTCTCACTGTGCCTTTCACACCGAGTCTCCTTTCTATCACTGATATCTCACCCTATTTCTGAACTTAAAGACAACGAGTCGTACAGAAAGGATGACCAGGAAGGAGCAGAAAATATGGAGGGAAGGATTTGTGGGAGTTTGGATGCCCAACTCTACCTCCTTGACAAGGCCGGGTGATTAAAAGGGTCCCTTCCAACTCTGCAGTTCTAGGATGAGGATGATTTCAGTTATCACCAACAGCCCCTCCAATTTCTCTGCCCCCTGCTCCGCGGAGCCGTGCGTGCCGGGTTTTGTCCCGAAGGGGTTGGAAGCTCAGTGGCTCCCGTCTCTGGCTGTGGAGCCAAAGGTTTGGGGGGGTCTGTTCTCTCACTGTGCCTTTCACACCGAGTCTCCTTTCTATCACTGATATCTCACCCTTCTGCAGTTCTAGGATGAGGATGATTTCAGTTATCACCAACAGCCCCTCCAATTTCTCTGCCCCCTGCTCCGCTCCGTGGGGCCGTGCGTGCCAGGTTTTGTCCCGAACCAAAGGGGTTGGAAACAATCCCTGGGGGTACACAGAGGAGGAGAAACGCTGCAGGGAGAACAGTGACATTCCACGTACTCACACTGCCTCGCATCTTAGAAAGACTCTTGTCTATCACCTAGTGCGGACACACTAAACGGTGACAGTTGCAACCCGGCGCATCTGGAGACGTCAAGGTTGGAAGCAACGCCCTGGTGACAGGGGGGAGACCGGTCATTTCAGAAAATATTTTTGAGACAGTGCCTTCCGAACCTTAATTTATCACACCGTTTCAGCTCTGTTTGTTTCCACTGAGCTATTTCTACGGGAAACGTTATCTCCAGGTTTAAAAGTTGACCGCTCGACATCTTTCGCAAACACGGGGAAAAAGCGTCTTCAGTTTTCGTCGAACCAATATTAGGAGAGTGTTGCTTCGAAGCTGTGAGTGAGAGGCAGAGCTTTCTGCCCCCCAAAAACAGAAAGACATATTAAACGTCAGGCGTGACCGCTCGACATCTTTCGCAAACACGGGGAAAAAGCGTCTTCAGTTTTCGTCGAACCAATATTAGGAAAGTGTTGCTTCGAAGCTGTGAGCGAGAGGCAGAGCTTTCTGCCCCCCCCAAAACAGAAAGACATATTAAACGTCAGGTGGGGAAGAGCTGCCTGCCTATTGTGAAATTCAACCAGCGATGACTAACTCACATGTCCAACTTATTCTTTCCCAAGTTCTCGTTTTGTGAGCGAGCTTAAGCAACCGAGGCAGCCATAAAAGCCAATGAGCAGGAGAACAAGACAAGGAGGAATAGCATGGGGGCTAATGGATCAAGATGGAATTTGAAGAGTTGTCAGCCTTCGTATTTGTTGATTTTTCCCCCCTACATGCACAAATTTGAATTTCTGCGCACTTCAGCGTTTCCTAAAGGACCAAGGCCCTGTTAGATAAACAGTCAGGGGAAAGCGGTTCCAGGAATCAGGAAGAACGCAAACACGGTGCAGACCTTTGTATGTGGAAACGGCTATTAAAAAAAATAACACAACAGGACACACCTGCCCAAGAGCCACCCATCATGTCTCCCCGAGCCCAGAGGCCACCCGGTCCAACGCAGGGATCCCCGACTCACCATGTAGAGAAGAAAAGGGAAGATAAGCAGGAAGATCCAGGTGTAGAGGTGGAAGCAGTTGGAGAAGGTGCTCTGGTGTGGGTCGAAAAACCATCCCCCCGTCAGCGAGGCCCAGACGCCCTGGCGCAGGATCTGGAGGACCTGGGAGCCCATGTCCACGGCGGGGGCGTCTCTTCTTCCTCCTCCTCCTCTTCTTCGCCCTCCACCTCCTCCTCCTCCTCCTCAAGGAACACGACTGAGCAGCTGGCGCTCCCAGTTTCCTTCATCAAGGCAGCTGAAGGCCCATGATCCACCAGAGGCTGGAGGGGGGGGGGTTATCCGGCACACCTCTTCAGCCGATCCGAGGTGAGGCTCCCGGGGACCCCCCTTCTCGAGCAAAGGGAGGGGGGGCTACCTCCACATTCAGGCAGAACCACCAGGATTTAGTTACTCTGAGCAACGGAGTCCTGGCCCCCCAGACCACCCCACCCCCTTCCTCCTCCTCCTCCTCCTGGACTCCTCTCCCTCCCCAAAGCTCACGCCATGTTCAAGGCAAGAGATAGCGGATTTGGGGAGGGGTGGCTTAACAGGCTAAGGGAGCTGGGGGGGGTCCAGGGAGACCTGTCCAGAGCCTCAGGAGATTTTGGGGGGGAGGGGACACCAACTAAAGGACCTCAGGAGGTAGAGGGGGGTCCCACCAGGCTAAGGGACCTGGGGGTCAAGGGAGACCTGCTCAGGGCAGGAAGGGGGCCAATAATGGAGGGGCCACAATAAACACCCCCATAAGACACTCACCCAAAAGGGGGGGCGGACCTTAAAAGGGGGTGGACCGGGCCCACCAAAGGAAGGGGGGCTATACCGGAAGTGGACCCACGGAGGCTAAGGAGGGGGGCACAAGCGCAGGCCAAGGGAGGCAGCCCTGAATTCCCCAAGTGGGGGGGGGCGCGCAGAGGTCGCTAAGGCAACGGCCAACCCCTCCCGGTCCACGCGCCCGGAGGGAGGAAAACGGCCCCGGGAGTGCCCGCCTGGGGGTTCCACTTCCGGGGTCAAAGGTCAGCTCGCCTTGGCCCTCAGGACGAAGGAAAGGCCACCCCGCGCCTTCACCTCGTCAGGGACTTGCGGAGGCCGGAAGAAGAGCCCGAGAGAGACAGCGAGGGGCAGCCAAGGGTACTGCGCATGCGCTGCGCTCGCTGGCTCTTCACGGGCCCCCCTTGCTCATGCCGGAAGCAAAACGCGGAAGGGTCACGGCGGGAGGAGGAGTAGAGAGGAAGAGAGAGAGAGAGAGAGCGTCGCTATTGGTGGGAACTGTAGACGTACGAAAAATGAGAGACAAACCCACTACTTGAAATTTCTGTAGTCGGGGAAAAAAATTAATTTAAACATGATATCTCATATTTGGAAAAGGCAATAAATATCAAAAATATTTTTTTTTAAATTAAACAAATATTTGCACGGACTTGGGGTTGTTTTTTAAAAATGCACTATAAAACTAACTGAGAGTTCAGATAGTTTTTAATGTTTGTTTGCAATTATCCAGTTGCATTTTAATTAGCACATAATTTTTTTAACATTTGACGTATTGTGATTTAAATTCTATTCTTTTTATATTGCGAGCCGACCTACCAATAGAACAAATAAATCCATAAAATCAAAAATTTTTAATATGGCTCAAACGAGCACATTCCCAGAGTAGGATCTGAAATACCTGCTCGTTCTCAGTCACAACTAAGTTAAAATTGTAGATTTTTCCCTTAATTTATTTGGGTAAAATTCCCTTCCAGCTGAAAGTGGGGGAATATTTGAACACCTGTTCTCAAAATATCCTAGAAAGCGAGCTCTCTAAGGCTTGAGATCCCTCTTCCATATTAAACGCTCTATGAGCTAAAGAACGAACGGCCGTCTGCGCCTGCGCCATTTTATGAGCGTCTTGGGTGGCTTTTACGCATGCGCCTCTCTGGAGCTGGCGTTGCCCTAAGAGGGAAGTATAAATCTTCCAGGCCGTGGGAAGTGTCGAAGCCTCGAACTGCGCATGCGTCGTCGAGGTGCGGCACCCAAACAGAGGCAGACGTTGTCCCGGAAGGGGGAAGAGAGCACCCAAACGCCAATGCGCATGCGCTCCCTTTCCCCGGAGTTGTTTGTTTGCTTTTAAGGCGGGCCCTGGCGTGACATTCCTCTTTTCTATTGGTCGGCTGATCTTGAGAAGCAGTACTACCCTCCATTAAAAAAATTAAGTTCAGTTTTCTTCCCTTCCGGGTTCTCCTTTTGGGAAGGCTGCATATATTGATTGTTTATTAATTTCATCTTCCTTCCTTCCGGGTTCTCCTTTTGGGAAGGCTGCGTATATTGATTATTCATTAATTTCATCTTGCTTATGATGATGATGATGATGGTTTATTGATGTCCTTATTCTTTGTTAATAACAATATTATCATCCTGTTGGTTGGTAAATCCATAAAATCACATTTTAATGCGGTCTTGCTTATTGATGCTAAGCAAGAGAATTATTATCTCTTGCTTATCATCATCACCATCTCTTTAATGGTGATGATGATGAGTTGGTATCTTGGCATTGCACCCAACCCATGGAATAAAGTTGAAGAAGCCTGCAAGTCAAAAGCAATGAAACGTAATACAGTACAACAACGTCAAAAAAGCAACGTTTTTGGAAACATTTGAACTATTCTTTCAATAAAATGTTAGCAACACAATTGCCCTGCCTCCAATTAATGTGTTAAAACACATATTAAGAGCATGCAAAGACCTCTGCTACATCAAACCAAAGGCCAGCACCAGATTCCTTGTGATGGCCAAGCAGAAGCCAGCAAGAAGCCTACAAGTGACATCTGAGCAATCCACAGGTCTTCTGGTGCAGGAAATACATGTTCTCTTGAGGAGCAGCCATGGCTAGTCCGATCCTCCATAGAATCATTCGGTCCCCTTTCAATGCCGTCCAAGACGGGGGTCATCGCTACGTCCTCCAAGACCAAATTCCACCGCCTGACTCCACGCTATGTGAAGGAGCCCCCTTCTTTTCTGTCCCAAAGCGACTCTGCTCCCGGGGCATGCTCCTTATTCTAGTTTCATGAGAGATGCACATTTCCCACATCACGCACAAGCATAGCTCTCTTCTTAGCTTATAACCACCGCCATTACCAAACTTAAAACTGAAAGGACCATGGAGTCCAGCCCCTTTAAAGGAGGGGGGGGGAATCAAACTCCCAACCTCCACCCGGAGACCTTGACCCCTGAGCAATCCAGCAGTTCTTGCAGCCATAAGATTCCAGGTGATGTGTTCCTGCGCACACTTGGTCCCATGAATCGAACTCCCAACCGGCATGCAGCAAATAAAAAAGCAGGAAAAAATGCCAACCATAAAATAAATGATTGTTGATGTTTTTTTTTTTAAAAGCAGCTGGAGTCGAAAGAAATGGTGCGTTTTCTTAATCCTTTCCTACTCTGTAGGTTGTTGTGGGTTTTTTTTAATCCTGGAATAATTCATTCTCTATATATACAGGAATTAAACCAGTTCTGGTGTAAAAATGCAGAGTGATGACAGAAGCTACACACTCTGTTTCCGTATGACTGTAAGTGTTGGTGCTTAAGGTGAAAATGTCATGCACCAGGAAAAGGGAACACAACTTTTATTATTTAATCGGTTTAGAGCAGTGATTTCCAACCTGGGAAGTCTACCGCCAGGGGTATGAACCAGGACAGATGGAGGTACGCAGGGGGAAATAATAATGGTGGAAAAAGGCACATAAACCAATAGTGAAAGGCTGTGGTAACATTAGCTGCATTTAAGCATCATTTAAACTGTCCGTCCTGGGCTTTTTAAAATCCCTCGCTTCTCAGATACATTCAAGCAAGTTGATTTCAGCAGTGCAGAGACCAAAAACGGACTAAAATCACCAGAAAAACACGATGATTTCCATTAAGTGCGTGGCAACGTGGCCTCTGATTTAAATGCCTCGTGACCTGAATCCGATTTTTTTAAAAACATCTGAACAGAAATCAATTCAAATTGCCAGTGGCACCACAGCCTAAAACACAAGTCAAAAAGTTGTGGGATTGATTTAATGTTGAGTGGGAGAGTGGGTTTTCTCCTCGAGAAAAGCCCCGATCCCTCCCTATGTAATTCTGGCAAATGGGGAGGAATCCCTCCGAAAACCATGTGCTGCAAATAATGCAACTGCAATCTTCATACTAACACAGGGTTCTTGGTCCTACCCACCCGCCAGCATTGTATGGCATTCATAGCTTACTCATCCCATGTGAGAAAGGGCCGGGGGAGGGCTGCCTGAGGCAGCTGCCACACTCAGCCCAAGAACGGAGCCGACTGCATCTGCTGCCTGAGGCAGCTGCCTCACTCAGCCGAAGAACGGAGCCGACTCTGGCCCTGGTTTTGCCCCGTTTGCCCCACGGTGCGTGAACTGCGTTGGTGAATTTGTAGTACGCTGTGGCCTCTCGGAGAGTAAGCGCCATCCAAATGTAAAAGCGACTGGAAATATTTGAAATAAATAAAATAAATGAAGGGACGCCGGCTGTCGTGAGTCCCCAACGGGCAAGGGTTAGGGTTGTCGTAAGCCATTCCCAACGCCCTGAAGCTGGGGGTGGAGGTGATTTGAATCCAGCACAACCTCAGCAGGGGTAGCTCAGCCAGCCCGCAGCCATCCTGGCTAGTCAGGATTGTATTGCACATGGTCTTCCCCGCTCCCTAATAAGTCTGAAAATATTATTTTCCCCTTCCTTGGGCTCGTGTTCTTATACAGACGAGCAAGCCCCTTTTTTGATCTCCAGGTGACCGTGGTCTTCGATCGTCTGCCTGCGTGGTGCCAACTCCGTTCTTATTCTCCATCTTAATATGGCTTAATCATCTTCTCAGCCTTCAAGGTTCTAGATGTCCTTCCTTAAAAACCCCAAAAGCGCAAATCGAGGCCATCAAGGAAGAGGATCTTTATTCCAAATAAACACGTGCAAGGTTCCGGGTTGTTCAGAACGCTACCTCGGGCTGGACACTGAAAAAGAGGGTCTCGGGAAGACACGGAAACCAGCCTCTGGGATTCCAAAACTTTGCCCACTTCAGCTCCCTTCTAGGGTCATCCAAGCCTCCCCGCTCCGCTTCCCAGCTTTTCAGCCCGAGAAAGCGTCATGGAGGACTCGAAAGCTTGCACGTTAGGCGACGGCAGGGCAGAGCGATTCCTCTTTTTAGCCCGGGTTGCCTTTTATTTTCCCCAAGACAGGGTCAAGCCGGTTTATTTATGTTTGTTTTAAATCCCAGGGACATGTCGGACGTCACGGCCTCCGCTGAAACTTTGCCCCGACGAAGCGTGCTGTGGAGCCCCCGAGGCTGGCGCCGCTTCCTCTTTCGAGGGCGCCGCATTCCGGAGGCGGTGGGCGGCGTTGAAGGCTGCTGTTTCTTCCGGAGGCTCGGAGCGCCCGTCCCTCCCCGCGGAAGCCTGGCCGGGGCTGCGCCCTTTGTTCCCACCCAGAGGCTGGGGGCGAGACGGGGCGGGCGAGGCGAGATCGAGACCCG